AGTCTGTTTAATTGTTTTTTTTTTGTTTTCCTTACCAGTTTTCAAATACGTTTTTGCACATCCAAATCAAAGACAAATTGTCCAAGGTTTTTTTTTTTTGTGTAATTTTCTTGATTGACTTTTTTTCTTTTTTGTTTAGAAACCCTTTATAGGTTGTTTAAAGGCAGAACTTATTTTAAATTGTAAGAATTTCGTCTTTGGAGGCAATAAGGATTTAGTGATAAAAGTTTTCTTTGACCCATAGCTGTGAGAATAAGTTACGGATTCATAACTTTCCCAAGGGTATTTGCTCGAAAACGTCTTAAACAACCCCAACGGGAATTTCAATTGGGCACACCGATTAACAATTCCGAGCAATTATCATTTACAGCATACGCACACCCAAGTATTGGTATTTCGAATAGGTCACCCATCGTGGTACCGACTAGGCTCAACGTTGCTTCATGTTTCAACGTGATGCTGTCGTAAGCTGCTTGCTTTCCGATTATTTCCGACGTTCACAGTCGTTATATAGACACTAATGTTATCAATAGGATAATTTTCGGGCAGTACATTTCCAAGTCACACACACTCATATATATATTTTTTAAAATTACGTCATTTCATATATTTACTTAAATCGCAAAATATTTCAGATATTTTTTACGTATTGTTTTATATATAATAACATATTTTATACGCATATTAATATGCCGTGATCAATGCAAAAATATATTTTCCTCATTCTTGGATTTTTTTGTTTAATACGGTGAAACCCGGATATAAGAGAGTTGTCGGGACCGGAGAAGAAGTGTCTTATATCCGGGTTTCTCTTATATCCGGGTTTGGTCTATATGTATACATTAACACAGGCTCTAATTTTGGACCAGAGAAAATCTCTTATATCCGGGTTTCTCTTATATCCCGGTTACACTGTAATATCTTCAGGTATTTTGAGTCTTTCCTTGCATTGAGTACGTTATAAAATGTTGATTAACTTCTATATACTTGCTCATATTTCTAGTTGCATGTTGGTTGATTGCGATGTAAGTATCGATATACGCATACATTGTCGTAGGTATCGATAATTCTTATTGATATTGGAAGAAACTCCCAAAGGACATGAGAATTCTTTAAAAAAAATAATTTATTTTCATTTTTTATTATTCTTTTTTATTTTATTTTATTTTTTTGCACAGAACGAACTTTTCAGTTCTGAGTTACTTTTATTCGACTACGTGATTTAAATATTTTACGATGAAAGACGAAATTTTGGTATCTATTAAAATCACTAATCTATATATAGGCGTGAATTATATTTTTAATGGCTTTCTATTCTTCCTTCGGATTAGATGTTATGGGAAAGTTTCTTGTGATTTTTATCTAAATTTCCCAAACGTAAAGATGAAGTAAAATAGATTTAAATCTAGCTGGTTTATATTGATTGAATTTTTTATAGCTTAACCCTTTGTTGGTTATTTACAGCCGAAACATAGATAGGGCTGTAAGAATGATTCGCATTATGCAAGTAAATTAACATTCTTTTTTTAGAATAAAAATGATTTTTCTTCTATATAAATTCTATTTTACTTTAGGATAGAAGATGGATTCGTAGCTTTCCCAAGGTTGATTGCGAATAAATAAATATAACAAACAAAACTGAGATCAGCACAATGGATGAGAGGGGCGTTAATTTGAAACGATATAAATATTTATTAATTTTAAATCATTTTCATTTAGTCATGTGGTGTCTAAATAAATATGAATAAATACAATTTGCGTGTCACTTACAAGTAGTTTTGTTCATTACACTAGTGAAAGTATTCACAACGGAAATGCTGTGTCAGAAACCTACTTCAGGTGATTTGCATCTACAAGTTTAGCCCCACTAGAGGTCTCTCGACATGGGAGGAATTAAAAGAAACTATGAAAGCAGTTCCACAAAAAGAAAACACGGTAATTATGGGAAAAATCTCAAGAGATGTGTTACAAACCTAAGAGAAAAGAAAATACCGAAATATATTTGACTGATGAAAGAATATGGCACAGTTTGCTTGTTACTGGACTGCGTGTTTTCGTTTAAAAATGGCTATTTATTGTCTGCTTAGTATTACTGATAGCCAGAAACGTGGCACTTTATATACCCAATAGGTCCTCCATCTAGGTTTTGACCAGAATCGGCAATGCTTGGCATTAGTGAGTTGTTTTGTTTGAGAAAATTATGTCTTCAAATGAAGCATGAAGCATTAGTCGTATTTAAAAAAAAGAAATATTAGTTTTAATCCTTTCGGGAGAAGCATCATACTTATTATAAAACCCACGTTGTGTGTGTGTGTGTGTCTGTTCGTTTATATATTGGATCAGATTTCCTACATTTTTTTCAACCGATTTCAACAGAACTTCACAGAACTACATAAAATTACCTTGCGGTAGTTCTGACAGCGCCAAAAATTGGAAAACTCAATTGTTTTTGCATGAAATCAATTTGAAGACACGATTAAGAGGCATCGTTGTCGCGAGAATGAAAGGGGGACAACTCATATCGTCTCATAATTATAAAACCCAGGTTGTTTGTGTGTGTTCGTTTATATATGGGATCGGATTTCCTACATTTTTCAACCGATTTTAAAACATTTTTGGCAGGTAGTGTTTCTTATTGTCTTCCACACTTTTTTATTTTTACATTCAGAATGCTTTAAAAATTCCATTTACAAGACAATTGTTTATAATAAAATTCTATTCAATCGCTAGACTCATAACGATTGAAAACAATGTTTTTGTTTGAGTTTGGATTTGACCAATTCGTAAAAAAAAAAAAAAAAAAAAAAAATTATAAGACATGCGTGTCCGTCAACCTTAAACAATAATCTTTGTTAATTTTATTTTTCAGTCTTTATGATGGTCGATACTTGATCTATCTCTTACTGTTACATCCCCAGTTCTACTGCTAGTATTTTATATAGAGCATCATGGCATAATTTAGCAATGGCAAGCGCTACAGCATTGTATCAGAAAAGTGAGAGATGACACTAAAATAAAGTACGTAATTGTTCATGTAATAAATAAAGTATTCAAAATGTTATTTTAAATAAGAAAACTTACCGCCTGATCCATTCTATTGTATTTCCCTAATTATCTCCGCTAATTTGCTACTGCCTCCAATTAAATTGTTTTAAACTAAAAAGCGACGCGAGTAGCTAAAACGTTAACCACTAGAACTTTGCGACCATGAAAAACTAGCTCACGGTATTAGATAATATCGCTTGGTGAAATGATCTGTGTGTGTGCTACCTTAGTTTGGTTGTATTTTTAATTTGTTTTAGCAGCATATCAATGACTATGGGTTATTTGGTACACATTTGTTAGATAATATATTAAGTGACGCAAGTCTCACTAATTGATCCATAGCTGGGGAGAAGAAGATATCGATTCATACTTTTTTGCAATGTTATTTGCGCATAAGTCCTGAGTAATACACTGTGATTGTCATCAATGATCTTCCTGATGTCACCAGTCACAAAGTAGGCATCTATGCAGATGACACTATTATTTACTCCTATCTCAATAGTAAATCCGGTATCGCTGGCAAAGTTAAACTGGCCGTTGCTCTCGAAGAAAGACCAAGTCTGACTGGTGCAGGAAATGGCTTGTAAAATTTAATGCCTTCGAAACTAAACTGCTTCCACTTAACCACCACAGGGGAACTTTCCCGCCCACCATCAGCATTGTTAATGGTCGACTCCGTCTGAGTGTCTCACTGGGCCTTATTGGCTTCACGTTTTCGACTGATATGAGGAGAAGCGACTACATTGAATCAGTAGCTGTGTCTTCTGCAAAGAAAGTTGATTCTCTGTCTCGTGCCAGAATATTTTTTCCCGTCAGAATCCATCTTACACATCTACAAATCTACCAATTATCCGTGAAATGAATATTGTTTCTCTTATGGGAACTTACCTATGAAGATAATGGACTCTTCCTGACACTATAAATACTGCGCCTCTTAAGAGGTATATTGAATGAACAGTGTAACCAGCACCAGTTCGTGTTGTTGAACTCTCTGCTTTGGCAGAAAAAACCCGGACGAATTTTGCCGAATGGCAGAGTTTCGTCCGGGGAGGTAGATTTGGCCCTGAATGTAAGTACTAGGCGGGTTCAAAGGGTATATTTTTTTGGCCGACGTTTACGTGTTCTAAGAAACCCACGTTAAACTTGGCCTTGTAAATACATGCAACCCTCGTGGGGGGTGGCTAGATACCGAATGAATGCTGTAACGAGTCGAGACGATATTAGTTCACTCTAAACCAGACGGACAGTCATTACTAACCACTTCAACTTCTTGTACTCTATTTCTGTTGTAATATATCTTTGTTATTCTACTCTCGTGTTACTGTTCTTCCTTGGTTCTAACCTTAGACTAAAACTGTGGTGCGAGAATATTGGACCATAACAGTTTCTATATATGGGCTGGCGCCCCTGCTGTTCGTCTCGAGGTTCTCGACAAAATCCGAAGAAGGATCTGCAATGTAATCGATCCTGACATGGCATCTCGACTTCTGTCACGTTTTCACAAACGGGATGTGCCTTCTCTCTGTCTTTTCTACGAATATTTCCATATTCTGGTGCCTCGACTGCTTGAATTTAAGTGTGCTACAATATTGGCACCTAGGTCCCAAACTTATGCTGTTAAAATAGTTAAATGTAACCACTTTTAAAGCAAATGTCTCTTTTCTCGCACTTTCCGCCTGTGGATCTCCCTGACGCTTACTTGTTTCCCTGATAACTGCAGTCTTCAAAAAATTAAACAAAACGACTATCGGCCTCTTCTGTTGATTTGAACCCAGTTCATTTTTTACCCTTTTCTTCAATCCCCTGTACCCAGTCTTTTCTTTAACTTTCACTCTCTGTAACCCGCTTCGTGCTAGTGGCACTCCCGCTATGCTTGGATTGAAATGCTTTAAAACAGAAAGTGAATATAACGAACCCAACTGGAACTCGGCTCTCAGATTAACATCCAAAATTATAGTACCTGGTTTTCCAAAGTGGTCACCCATCAACTTCAGTCCAGGCTCGAATTTGCTTAACTTCCGTGATCGGACGAGATCGGGTGGTTTCTACTGTGACATGCCCGTTGAGAAATGCATGAAAAATATTCACGTGTTAACATATCCTGTATTATTGAACTTGAGAAAACTATTTGCAGTTGTTGCTGGTTACAATAGCATAAAACTCACCACTTCTCTTATTTGTGGCTCCGTTTGTTCAAACTTGCCAGAATATAATCTATCTTTTTCTTGCAGCAAATGTACCCCAGGGCCGCTCGGTATATCCGGAGTATATACTAAATTTTGGATCTATGGGGTTTGAAACAAATGTGCGTGACCAGGCGGTTGCAACAGGGCTTGTTTAGCTAAGTAAACGAATGCCGACCTTTAATTAACAACTCTGTACATTGGATAAAGAGGCTTTCACAAATCCAAGCAAAGAAACAGAGAAAAGGGTACTGAAATATTATGTAATATCGTTCCTCCTGTATGGCACTGAATGTGAATGCTGGACAGTCTTCTTACAGATGAAGCAGCGACTTCAAACAAAAAGAAAAAATGGTTCTACAGAGCGATAATGAATATAGACTGCATATGTGAGCAAGTACATGTTTTAGAGAAAATGGAAATAAAACGAACACATAATTCGAATCATAAAATTAAAATTATTTTCATATTTCTTCAGGATTAAGCTTAATAACCATATATATTTCTGTTATTAATAACAATTATAAGTTTTTTTTCTTGATTCAAATGTCACATTAAAAAGTGACAAATTACTTTTGTGGCACCATTTACGAGGCAGAAAAGGAAAAGAAAGAAAAAAAGGCAGAAAGAAAGGCGAGACGAATCGTGGGTGAGAAGCAGAACACACACGGCTAAGAGACAATGAATATATTGATAAGTAACCATGGCGAAAGGGTGTCATTACAATGACAGGGAAATTTGAGAAAAAAAGAAAGGGAAAAAAGAAAGAATCAGATGGGTTTTGATAACGGCTGTGTTATCTAGGGGCACGTAAACAAAATGCTGGTCGACTGGCCAAAGAAAAATTCAAATGAAAATGTTATTTCGATAAGTGACGAAAACAGGCAAAAAAAGGGACTTTGGATAGATATGAAAAAAAATTAATCGCGACACACACGAAGTAACCACACTGACCGATTTTCTTGCTGCAGAACATCTTTATGCCTGCGATAATAAAATTATGTTATCAAGAAATGTTAGCCAAAGAAAAGTCCAATTGAAAACGTTAATTTTGATAATTGACAAAACACAGGTGTAACTACAGGGCTTTGGATAGATATGGAAAAATTAATCGCGACACACACGAAGTAACTACACTGACCGATTTTCTTGCCGCAGAACATCTTTGGCCTGCGATAATAAAATTATGCTATCAGAAATATATACCGAAAGAAAATGAATGGGGACCTAGAAGTGTTTTTCTTCTTTCTTGGAGGCGACAGACTGACTGAAACTTTGGAGATGTTTCTTTTTTGAGGCCGTGTTAAGAAGACCACCCATTCTGATAATTAGCGATAAAATACCTGACAAAAACCACGTGTAGAACAAGTTATGACCGCCATTGTCATATTGTCCCGTTTGCGGCTAGAAAAATGATAACGGCGATTAAGAGGAAGAAAAGGGAAAGAGAAGAGATAATTTTTTTTTAATTAAGCAAGATATATATTTTTTTTCTTCCTGAAACAAAGCCGCGGATTGTCCACGCCCGACTAAGACATCATTGGTCAAGTGCTGATCACGTCATTGGGAGGAAAGATGGTTTTTTTTTTTTTAGTTAAGCAAGATATTTTTTTTCCGAAACAAAGCCGCGGATTCGTCCACGCCCGACTAAGACTTCATTGGTCAGTGGTGATCACGTGACGCACGAAGGAGGATGTCGACGCCTCATCCAGAGTATAGGTATGAGAAGCTGCTACGAAGAAGTGGGGAGGGCAGTTCACGCCCTCTGAAGTATGGTGAGAGAAGGTGGGAGTGAGAAAGTTTCCCCAAAATGGAAAAGAGTGGAAAATCCTAACCAGAAATAAAAAGAGGTGGATATGTATTTAGAATTATCGAGGAACCCCCGACGCCGACAGACCCACCCCGGTTTTGGTCGGCGTCCATAAAAGCGAAGGCCCCTTCGAGCAGAAATCAGTTCCAGAGTTGAGTTCCAGAGTTCCAGGAATTCAGTTCCCAGAGTCAGTCTCCAGTTGAAACCACCTCGCAGATAGCTGACCAAGATTCACGCAAATTCCGGACTCCTCTTCAACCCAAGAACAATTATTTTGAAGAGCGACTTAGATCCAGACCACCGAAATAAGTTTTTTCGACTTTCGTCCAAAGACACACCGAAACACCAATTTCTTAGAGAGCAAACAACTTGAAGCGTTAAAACTCACCTAACGGAAAACGACCTGTCACAATCCATAGAACGGGTCGGGAGATAGATGCAGTCCTATGTATCGAACAACTAGACATAAAGTTTGTTACCTTTTTCTTTGATACTTTGAACTTTTGAGTTTTCATTTTATTTTCTGTTATGCATATTTGTGTGGTATCACCCCCGTTGAACTCAGTTTGCATTACGGCCCCGACTACTGATTGGTCTCGTCTGCCTAAGATCAATTCCCAACGTGGGTAGGCAGACTGGAGATCAATGCAGTTACCTTGGTAACCAGGCGTTGGAAGCGAGTTGGGAACGACTAGGCTGATATCAAATCTAACCAGATTCCCACCCGAATCACCAAAAGGTTAGAACGTCACATTTGGGTGCTGCGACCGATACCAAGCCGGTTGGTCGTCACAGGACGAGACAACACGACTGACGCGACAGGCGGACGTCACGTTTGGAGCAGCGACACCCGAACGGAGCAGCGAGGACGTCACAATTGGTGATGTTTAGGGACGTCACAGTTGGTGCCGTGGTAGACCAGAATAGAACGTCACGGTTGGCGCTGCGACCAGGGGGCGACGTCAAACTTTCTTTCATTTGTAAATTATATCATAATCACTCCAGTGAGCGTGTGTAGTTTTAGGGTCGCTTCACAGATGACCCTCTTCCAACATATAGCAAACAGATGATCATCTTACAACATATATCCAACAGATGACCATCGTCCGTCACATATCCCGGTTGCGTGTCAATGTTTCTTTCTCTTTGAATGATATTTCACACCACTTAGTCTCTGTATCAGCAAAAGATACAGAGGAGAAATAAATCAAGTGGAACATTTTGTAAAGATATCCACACAATTCTGACTTAATTCATGACGGTTGTTATTAGGTCTTCAAACCTTCTACTTACTTGTCGGATGGCGTCTGATGATTGGAAAATTTTACTAATTATTTCATGATGAATATATAAATTTATTGTGCTCAGCATCAATAGTAGATTACGCGAATTGAACTAATTAGAATAATATGAAGCCAATGAAATATGCTTGATGAAAATTAGAAATGCATACATTTATAATTTTCAGTTCATTGCTATAATTTAACTTTAAGATTTTCATCCCAAGCAGGGCCGGAGTGCCACTAGAACGCAAGAGGGGTTACAGAGTGTGGGAGCAAGAATAAAGAGGCGAGATAAAAGACGATAAGAAGGACGGGGAATAGATCAAGGCATGTGAAGACCTCGGTTGACACTGCATTTAAATATTTGGAGATTATAACTATAAGGGAAGCAAGTAAGAGGAAGGGAGCTAAACAGACGGGAAGTGCAAAACATGAAGCTATTGGAGTTGAAGAGACGCTTACATTTAAACGATTCGACAGTGAAAGTGTTGGACTGAGATGCCTACTTAGTAGCACTCTTAAATTCATGCAGTTTGGGAACTAGCGAAATAGCTCGTCGGAGCAATTACCTTGAAAGTATTTGTAGAAAAGACAGAGGAAGACGATGGCACGTTTCTGAGAGAGTGACTGTAAACGAGATGCCAGATCAGGGCCAATCACATTGTATATACGTCTCTGGATTTTGTCGAGGACCTTAAGATGAGCAACGGGGGCATCAGACCATATATGACAGCAGTATTCCATACAAGGGCGAGTGGTTGATTGAAATTTGAAGGTTGGACTCGGACAAGAAAAACCTTCTGACCGAATATGTCTACAAATGTCGTCTATTATGGAAGAAATATTGATCAGACTGATCGTGTCAAAATGTTGATAGCATATCGAAGAAAATGTCATAATATGGATTAAACATTTACAACAGGAATAATATTCTGATTTTAATACTATCGTTGACATTTTTCCGCATTGCAGTTGTGAAGAACACATGCAAAGCAGATATCTTAAAAATGGAAACAATTTTTATGAAATCTGCAAGACCTCAAAATAAATTATACATTGTTAGAGAGATTCGAAAGTTGCGATAGGTCTTCCTGGGTATGACGATAAACTACGTCCGACAGCAAGACCTCTGATTAGGAGGTTTTGATGAGCTTAGAACCACCTCTTAAACTGCTGCTATTTCCAGGTCCACCCTGACCGCGGGTGGTTGCACCTGTCAGGGTCCCAGCTATGGACAAATAGTTAACTCCAAACTAGGATCAAAACACTATGAAAGTGTAAAAATAGGTTTTAGTATTAGAAATGCTTTGTAAAACAAATTATTGCCAGTGATACATTTTTGAAAAAAATATTGCCGGCAATACATTTTTGATATAAAAAAAATACCAGCAGTAAATTTTTGGAAAAAAATATATTACCAGCAACAGATTTTTGTAAAAAAAAAGATTACTAGCAATAGAATTTTACAAAAAAGGATATTGCCAGCAATATATTTTTGAAAAAAATATTACCAGCTGTAAAAATTTTATCGCCATTAAATAGCCCATTGGGGTTAATATGCCGTAAAACAAACCAAACCCTGCGGCAAGGAGGAATTGTCAGCAGTTATTTCCATTGAAATTCATGCGTTGTTTATATTACGCCCTATGTAGATGAACAAGAATATTCCATCTTACACTGTATAATTTTCTACTGATTACATTTTAAGCACGCAAAATGGCGAGTTAGAATATTTTTTGCCATTTTGTCACTGTTGTTAGGATCAATTTTCT